TCTGAGATTAAAGTCACAAGTCTGAGAAAATAGTCAGAATTCTGAGATTAAAGTCAGAATTCTGACTTTTTTCCCCATTTTAAACTGAAATACAATCTAAAAATCAGTTAACTTTTTTATTTTTTCAGTGGCCCTAATCCTCTTCCGTAATATGGTGCTGCAGTCACAAAGAATTGATTCTTATCCAAAGCAGCGCCCCCTGCAGTCACCTTAAGTAATACCAACCAATTAATCCGCCGCACAACTAACTTTTTAACACCATAAACAACCAAAAACACCAGAGTACCTTATAAGGCCAACCAACAAAAAACTTACATTTACAATCTTAAAATGGGGTTTATTATATACTGCAGGGATCAGCTATTGTGTCTCTCACATTTTTGCCAAATCAAAAGTTTCTTTGGCATTTTTGTTTTTGCCACAAAAGCACATCAGAAAGCAGCTTTCAAAAAAGGAAAAAAATCACACTACACGTATCTTTTGAGATTTACCAACCCACCACAAATAGAAATGCGGCAAAGTAGTTAAGATTGTCTTTTTTTTGTTGATAAATTAAGAACTATAAATTTAGTAAATTATTACTCTGTTTTACATCATTGAAAATTTTTACATAATGATCAGATGGAAAGTGGTTTGCTTATACATATTGGCTGAATAGCACAACAACAACAAAAAAAAAAGGAAAATTGAACGAAATGATTTATTCCTCAAAAAAAATTTTTAAAAATTAAGCCAGAAATGTTATATACATACAAAATTTCCAGAACAATGCAAGACTAACAAAAATAGCAGAAAACAAATCTAAAATGAAAGCATTTCTCCTCAGGAAATACATCTAATGTGTTTGTTAAATACATGTTTAGTCAGTGATTTATTTATTCTCTGGGTGTGTATGTGTGTGTGTGTGTGTATGCATATATATATATTTTTATATATAGATACACACACAAATTTATAAACACGCACACACAAACATAAGCCCACATATATAACAGACAACAGCAGCAAACCCTCTGCTGTGCGTGATGGTGGAGCAGAGGACAGGTTTAAGTGACGCAAACAACTTTTGCAACAAGCGTATTTGTTCTTGGTTCACATGTCAACATAAAGACCAGAAGAAATAGTCTGCGTGTTAGAGAGATGGTTATTTTTCTTTTTTTTTTTACAGCATCAATCCTAGGAAATCAGTGCTTAAAACAGGTTAGATCAAATTATCTGATAAGGAAACTAAAATGCCTTTTTCAACCACATACAAAAAAAAAAAAGAACATTCCTATGGAAAAAATAAATTGGCATAGGCTGTAATAAAGATGAACATTTTGATTTAATAAAATCATATGGCACCTACAGGGGTCCACTTGAATGTTTAGAAATTAGCTTTTCTAGATATGACAATATATAGATTCTAAATAAGTCGACGCCTGAACAGCCGCCAATCGCTGTACACACAAATTCAACAAGTCAACGAGTCAATTCAGGTTAATTTAGTTCATTAGGTTCTGACAGAATAATAGCATCTACGTAGCTTTTTTCTTATTCAAAGCTGCTTTGAGTTAGAGGTCAACCCTTAAAGTTGGGGTGGGGGGTCAGCATGATGGATGGGGGGGAGAGAGAGAGAGAGAAACGTCCCTTAAAATCCAGTCAGATAAGTTTCCTGAACTACCTGAACCCAGAAAGATCCACCTTTCTACTGACTCACATACACACACCTGCAGGCATCTTTTCACAAAGGCAAACATCTCAACATGGGACCATTCAGTAAATGCATTTTAAGAACCGACGAAAAAAAGATTTTTCCCACTTCATTCTGTCAAACTGCCATTATTATTATTATTATTAGAGTGTGTACACTTATGAACAAAAAAAAGCAGACTGCAATAAAAACTGATGAGGATTTAAACTGATATAGAGAGCTTACTGTGCTGTCAATTATACGATTTACCCGTTTCTTAAGAGCATAGACTAACTGAAAAGGAAAAAAAAACAAAACAAAAGAATGTTGCAAAGAAAAAGATAAAGCAGGGACATTGTGCCTGGCGGACGCTGCGCTAATATTCACTGAATAAACATTTGTCTTAGTTTCAGAAGAGCAGAAAAAGGCAGATAGTGCATAAAAGTACTCTTTTCTTCCCCATTTCTTTCATTTTTTTTTTTAAACTTAAAATCAAGCTGCATTAAATACAGGCCGTTTGTACAGGACAATTGCACTTCACAAAAACAGAAATATACAAACACACAAGGAAATGTGAATCAAATTAATTACAGCAAAAGAAATAAAATCTTACTCTTCAGGCGGATTATTTAACAAAAAAAAAAACTTGTGGACTCACTTGCTGTGGATTAGTTTAGAGAAGAATAATAAGGAGAGTGAACATAAAAGGGAGACAAGACGGTGGGGATCCTGAACTCCAGAGTGGACTGGTGCTGCACTATTCCAGGTTTGTGTGCATGCAACTCCTTCCTCCCGCTCCTCCTCCTCCTCCTCCTCCCATGTATTCCCTTCTTAGAAACCAAAAGCTCAGAGTGACGGAGAGACAGACTGCTGAGCTGCTGTGGGTCTTGAGAGGATGGTGGTTTGTAAACTCTATGTTGTGTTAGTGGTAGGAGGGTGTGTTACCACATGTCGTCTGTAGATGCTGAGTCCTTGATAAGAGAGGAGAGGAAGGAAAAACCCTTCAGACTTTGGCTGTACATCCACTGGATCTCCATCAGGAGCTGCACATGTTTCAGTAGCTAAAAAGGATTCTGATGTGTAGCAAAACCCTTGTAAAAGTCGCACTAACATGTTTCCCTAACATTTCAATCTTTTTCCAGAATAATGCATATAATCTAGCTAAGTGGAAGATGAAAATAAAACAATAGAAAGTTCCAGGTTGTGTTTTTGTAAAACATCTCAGTTGATAACAGGTTTTATCTTGAGATATTTTTATGAAAGGCTCATTTGATGGTTTTTTTTTTACAACATTTCTAGGGTTTTTTCTTCCATGTAGTGGTGCAGGGTGTTTTTTTTTTTTTCAAACAAGTTTTATATACTTCGAATAATTAACTTCCCTCCTTAGAGAAGACGCTTCAAAATGGTAAAACTCTATGCAAGTATAAAAGTCTGTCTAAATTACAACAGCAGACAGAGGACTGGGCTCTCAACTCAATACTAATCACGTCAGACATAATCTTTATCATCGATCATATAACACTACTGCTTCTGAACTCATCTATATTGTGACTCATTTTTATGTGTAGCAGAAAAGATTTCTGAAATAGCTGAGAGTTTAAAGCAAAGACAAAACAGAATGGAGAGAAATCATGGATGTTTAAACAATTAGAACAAACTATGGGTTTAACTAGGAAAGCAAGGTGGTGGGGTAAGTTAAACAACAAAGAGCAGGGTTGCTAAGAAAGAGTTCCCCACAAGGAACACAGAAAGAAGGTTTCCTATTTAAACAAAGGAACCAGACAAGATTAGCAGGTTAGACAGATGGAACAGGATTCAGACAAAAGAGTAACCCAGAAGATAGGAACTAAAAAAGAAAAAAGATCTCACGAAAAATCTGATAACAAAACAAGTGCAAAAACAATACTGTTGCTTTCCAGTAGGATTGATAAGAGTACTCTTATTTCATTTACTTTAGGAACCAAGAGAAATCAAAGAATATATGAGAGAAATTACTTATTAGTAGAAGATGAGAGAATGGATCAAAATCTAGCCAATAATAGATCAGGTTTATATTATTTTCCTCAAATTCTTAACTCAATTTTACGATTTAACTCACTTTCACCAAGAGTTGCACCAATCACTTATCCTGAGTTTATGTCTAGCCAATTTTCCCCTCCTCAGCTGTTACTTGTGATCAGCTATTTAATCACAGCAAACCTCAGAGCACCACAAGGTGTTGACACAACTTTAACTACTTTCTATCATACATGTACAGGTACAGGTAAGGACTCCAGCAGATGTTTGCTGCATCAATAAGAACAGAAAGGGTTTGGGTTTGTTTTGCATTTGGATCAAGGCACAATTTAAAAATATATTATGTTTAGAGATGAATACCTCAACCAAACTGTGTCCAATTCCAAGTAGTTATTAGAAAAGGAATTTGTTAACAAAGCAAATTATTGGTTATAAAAGCATAAGATCCCACCGTGTTTGGACAGGAAATTAAAAATGATTTATCTTGGCTTTAATCCAACCATGCAGTAAATAATCCCCCCTAAATTGGTCATTTTTTTCACCTATGTGCAACAGAGTTGATTTTCTTCATTGTTCAGTTCTGATTTTCAAAGGCCAACTGATTATAAAGTTGTTTTTTTCATTGTTATATTTAACACAGCAAAGTGTTACCAGGTTTTTGACCCATAAGCATCAATCAGCAGCTGGCATCTTGAATATCACTTTTTCGAGCTTAATAAACATTAGAGAAAGGTTCTGGATATTTGGTTTCATTTATCAATGAAAAACATGTTTAAATTCCTTAATTTTTTTTTTGGTGGATTCAAAGCTACAATATATATTGAACATTTTTATACTCCAGTGTCCTGAGAGAAAAAGCTAGATCCCTTAGCCGTGCAAAAAGATATAACCGAAAAATAAATATAAATAACCTGACCCAATCAATTTCTTCTTATCTACGTATGTCACCTAAGCGGCAAATCTTTCACATGCTATAAAATATCATCAAGTAGGCCTGGGTGGTAAACTGAATATTTACCGTTACGGTCATTCACTACGATAATGGCAACAATTTTCCCATGTCGGTAAAAGAAATAAACGTAATTTGGCCGTTTTGCCTGTGGCTGGTATTTCCTTCCCCTTTAAGACACTGAATCAGGTTTGTAATCACATCACTCAACTGATCCAGTCAGAGGCGAGAATGGCGGATGAGCCCAGTGAAGAAGCGTCTAACACAGCTGTAAACAAAATTACATCAGTTAATCCTGTGGATCCGAGCTAGAGAAGAGATTAAGCTGAGCGCGCAGAGAAGAAGGAGCTCGTTGTCGGAGTTGAACGCGCAGCAGCCCGGTTTTGAGTGAGGTGTGCGAGTTTAAATGATGCACATTGTTCTCGCTGCTACCAAAATTATGCCATAGATGTTTAGCAAAAGAACACGAAATACAAAGTTTCTCTGAAAACTGTTGGGACTGCCCAAAGTAACACATCCAACGTCTTTCACCGCCTACAGCACAACCACCCTGTCCAGGGAGTTCCCCGCCTCTAACACATAGACTGCCGGAGACAGGCACTGGTCCAACCGCGACCCTGACAAGGACTACGAGAAAAAAAGATGGATGGAATGCGATTTATTAAATAAATTATTTATAAATAGATCAGTTGCATTTCTTGCCTATGCCTTTACTTTTGATAGAGGAGCCAGAGCATTTATCGTTATTGTGGTAAAAGTGTCCAATTTAATGTTATATTGATTTGAGGTCATATCGCCACGCCCTAGATTCAAGTACCACACAGTCTGTGCTAGGACCCCAACTTTTTACTTTTTATAAACTCCAATGAGGTAGAAGCTTAAACACCACATTATAGCTGTCCATACCATAGCGGAATATTCAACTTTACTTACTGATAAAGTATAGATCAATATCTGTTGATAAATCTAACCATAATATTAAGATTTGTAAATTAATTGTTAAAAATATATATATTATAAAAAAAATTTTTGGGGGGGTAAATAAAAAAATAAGCTTAGGCTGGTGACTAGCATGCCTAGGCTGGTCACTCACTAGATTGTCCACTTCCTCTGCTGCATTAGCACAGAGAGGCTAGTCACCAGCCTCTCCACAGCCAATGCAGGCGAGATCCATCGCTCTCAGTTACAAGCTTTGGAATGCCATTTGCTCGGGCCGGCCACTCAGTTAGCAGCGCCAGTATCAGATCAGTAGGTGGCATGGGAATGGATAAAGCCTCCTGCGCCCAGGGAGTAAACACTGCTGGCTACGCAATAGTTTTAATTTTGGCACCAACACGGCGGAATACACATTTACAGTTTTTGTGATTTAAAAATATTTATTTGTAGCTCCTTAAAGGTATAGTGGATGATTTTCGCAACTTTTTGAAAAAACAAAACAAAAACAAACCATCCACAACCCTGTACCCGCTCCCGAGAGGTAATGCCTATTAAACGCGTGTGTTGCATCGCTCATACAAGCTTACTTTCCAGAAGATTTGTATTTTTTTTCCCCTACGTCAGACTCACCACCTGTAAGTGTAAATGGGGATGAGCACATAGGACAGCCTAACGTAAACATTTCACCAGAATGATTGACAATTAGGAGGACCACTTATTTTGATGATCCACCCGGAAAAAGAACATCTTCCACAATAACATAAAAGTTTTTACCACCACTTCACTATCTAAAACCTTTTTAAGCTGCATTAAACAATTTCTCTCGTGAGATATATGAACATAGTTCCTAATTTCCTAGTACTAAAATAATTAGCCGATCTTTATCACAGAAATAAATGCCAGTGATTCTTTATAGTATGAATTTTGATTATAGAGATATTGAGATAATACATAGCAGTCCTAAGCTCATTTTACTCTTACGACCTCACCCAATAATTTACTGGCTCTGGATTATGTGTGTATAAAGCCAGAATATATTTACTTAGTAAAACTGACCCGTTAAATTGAACAGGTCATGACCAAAGTCATACCCACTACTTTACCAGAGCCGTTATAGTGTAAACCAAGCCACTACATTACTGGGTAAGGCACTGGTTTTTGTATTAATGCGAAAAGTTTGTAGTGATGAGTTAGCTAACAACAGTCCACGTGCAACAACAGTTGCACGTTAACCTCCCCAACAATAGGACCATTGATAAACAGGCTTGCTTTACTAAGAAAGCAGGTAGGTTTTTAATGATGTTTGGAAACAATTCGGACCTGGAACAAAAAAAACTGTCCACACAGAGAGTCAAGTACGACTCACTGCAGGGTCATGCTCTGGTCTTCGTTTAGATCTTCCTGTACTACAACATTTAATTTTTGTTTTTGCCAGTCTGACTAAAATGCTCAGAAATCACATTCTTCATTAGTTTTCAAAAAGCTACAAACAAGTGTTTAGAACCATCAGTCCAAAACCATTGTTTGCTTTTACTAATCAGCTGTTTAGCAGATGTTAATTTCCAGCAAAAAATTCTTCTTTAGAGGTTTGCTTGATCAGTTAAAGCTAGGGTTGTCACGATACTAAACTTTTCAACTCGATACCGATACTAAGGAAAATACTCGATACCATTTTCGATACCACAAGGATAAAAACAAAGACTCCAAAATTCTACAGAAATATTTTCATTAATAAATAAAATACAATAAATAAATACAATAAAGGTTGTATGCTGTTCACAATATTAAGCAAGCTTGATAAAAAACTTATAAAATTAAAATTAAGTGTTTCTTCCTTGGCTATGCTTTGCACACATAACAATGACGCTAGCCAAACCAGTTAAGAAACAAAAATAATTCTCAGCAGCTGCACCTCTTACAAAAAAAAAGTCTAAAACTGAAAAGTTTACAGAATTATTCAATCACACAGTGTTTTGAAAGTGCATTGTCCTCTATTCTGCACTTTAGATGAATGACTGCTTAGGTGCCACTGGTGGTGGCACTGTATCGATACTTTTAAAAACGAGTATTGTATCCGGATACAACGTTTCAGTATCGATACTTTTTAGAGTTTCGATACTTTTGACAACCCCAGTTAAAGCTATATTCCTTGCATTACTGCCACCTGCAGGTGATATTAGGTTCATCTATTCCACTAGCCTAGTAAACTAGCCCCCCACCAGAGGCCAAAATCATTTTTGCCTGGGAGTGGTCTAGCCTTAATCAATGCCCCAGGCCCTAGAACTGGTGGGCCAATCACAATGCCGAGATGTGTTTTGAATTTTTAGATGCAAAGCGGGCGGGGTTTTGAGGGTGTGACGACAAAGCTGCATGGCGCTGGAGAAAGCACAACAAGGAAGATGGCAAAAACTACTGAACAGTTCTCGTTTGACTCAGCTTTGGAATCAGTTTTGGAAGGATTAGACTTGGGGTTTTCATTGAAACGTGAGCAGGGAGAGGATCTACACCCATTAATTTTTAAATAGGACGTATTGACGTTTTATCGACAGGCTGTTTGTTTACACTCCCTCACCAGCTTTCTGTCGCGCTTACACAGTCAGTCGCACTCAATGGTCAGAGCGTTGGCCAATAGGCACAGACATGGTTTGAAAAACAATGGGTTGTTCTCATTAACAATCTTCTGACTGCCTCATTTACGGGGCCTGACTAAATTACACATTTAATCTCACATTTAGTCTGGTTTATCAGACTACTAATCCACTGTTGCTGGGTTAAGCGATAAATGCGCTCACCTGTTAATGGGACCAATTTGTATGTATAAATGGTTCAGTTGGTGCTCAACCTGAGAATGTGGTCTCAGGGAATTATTGGGACTTATGTAGGGGCACTGATGTTAGATTAGAAGAGCTTGAAAATATAGCAACATAAATAAACTAGATATTTATTTCTATATAATTCTGGAAAAGTACCAAAATTCAATAGATAAGCTCTCAAACTAACAACATTATGTCTATGGTTGCAGTTACTGTGGCTACCAGAAATAACATAAGGAACTTAACAACCCAAACATAATGAAAGAAAAAAAAGTTAATGATCTAGTAACTGTTAAGGCCTCTGGTTAAAATTTCACTTGACCACTAAAGGACTAACAATACAGAGTGGAAAAAAAAAATCTGAATGAATACATGGAGCTTATATGAATAGATCACCACCTTTAAACATGACTGAGGGTTCTGCCATTTTAAATAAACCAAACTGAAGCACAGCTGCATTACCAAGGACATGTCAAAAGACTAAATATCAGACTCGGGGTACTTTTAGTGTGTTACATACTGGAAGAATTGGCTTAAGACAAATGACAAAAACCAAGCACATTAACAGCATTCAGAGCAGCTGCTTTAGAGAAATAAAACATGGACATAACACATCTTTCCACCTCTCAGATGCGACTTCCTGCTCTCCTGTTTAATGTCAAACTGAATATATTTATCTGACTTTGATCGCCTAGGAAGGGGAAGGCCAGTATAATCATCAACATTAATCATAAGGTCGGCCTAGAAGAATAACACTCTTCTGTAATAGTGTAACGGATCTGAAAATAGGAAAGGTCAAACCATTTTTAAACCTTTCTTTACAAATTGTTTTATTTCGGAGATCAAAAACTACTAAATCAAAGGTTTAAACAGTGAACTGAAGAGAATGTTAGATTTTTATGAGACATTTGATAGTAATCCACTAAACATTCAGGGGCACAAAAAATTAAATATGGGTCTTAACTAATACCTTTAAAAATATTAGACAAATATTTATAGAAAGCTTATGTTATGCTATAAACTCAATGGAAATATGCAACCCATAACATCTGGTTTGACAAATATTTAACAAACATGACTTTCATTGATTAACCCATCTAAAAATATAACAATGCCACTCACTCCAGTGGTGTGAAGCTACAGATCTAGATACAGAGGTAAGATGGGTTCCTTCACTAGACCGAGTTGGACAAAAACAAAAAGAGAGTTTTTTTATTTCTACATTTCTGGCCAAGAAACACCATGTTCCACAGTGTCTCATTAAAGCTCCATCATGATGGAGATTTACGGTGCCATAGAAAAGTATTAAACCCTGGACATTCCTGGCATTTTATGTAACAGATCAACAAAAAGTAGCTGCCGAATTGAAGGATGGGGATATGGTTTCCAAGGGTTTCTACAAACTCATTTGAATGCAACTACAGCTGAAGTTTTTTTTGTAGTAGGCCTATCATCTCAGTGTACATCTAGAGCCCGAAATGTTTATGCCTCTTTCCAGAGGAACTCCAGATAATTTAGACTGAGCGGAGAGCATCAGTGTACAGTATTTTCTTTTGTTGGAACCACCTAACAAACAAATTTAGTTCTGGAGAATTTGACAGTGTCATTTTAACACATTGATGCTTTGATCTAATTTCCTTCCATCACTGGCTGCATGTTTAGGCTTAATGTCCTGCTGGAAGGAGAACCTCCATCACAGTCTAAGGTATATTGCAGTCTCTAATAAGGTTTGCTGAACTACATTGAGCTCCATCCATGTTCTAAACATAAAAGTCTACCTCTTCCCCATGTTTAACCATAGAGATTATGTATTCAGTGAATTATTTCTTCCGCCTTGATTCTTAAGTTCAACTTAGGTCCCTCTGAGACCAGAAAAGACAAAAAAAGGACTAATTCTGAGAACAAAATGGGAAAGCTCTGAAATATCTTAATTTAGAGTCCCCCAAGTAAAAGGGGCTGAAAACATATTTTCCTCCTTCACATCCATGCACTATAACTGTGCTGATCTGTAACATAAAATCTCAGTAAAACACACAAAAGTTTGTGGTTGTAACATGAAAAGGCTGAATGGCTATGAATACTTTTTTAGGGCACTGCAGATCATCTTGTTGATGCAGCGTCAATCCATAATCACCAAGCTAATGACTCGCTGTGTAAAATAAAAACAACAAAAACTGCATCTTTCTAGATATGAGGGCATACACCTAATAAGCTGATCACACAACAACAACCATGCAATAATTAAATAAAGCAGAAAGTAAAAAGACTAGCATAAACTGCTGGATACTTACGGTGTCATCGCTTCGGTACGGGTTAAGTTTGTTGTACACTGCTTCAATAACACTTCGTCTGAAGGGATAAGATTGAAAGAAATAGTTTAACAACAGTAACTCATTTTCAGCTAGTAACTAACAGTAGCTATCACTTACTTGCTGGCCAACTCTCCACCAGGAGGGAGGTTTGGAATGCTCTCAGATGCTAACGTCCGCATAACATGGACCAACTCTGGGACGCCTTCATCTCCCTGCTTTTTGATTATCTCTGTTAGAAGAGCAAATGGAAATTTGGTTTTAAAACACAATAAAAGAAAACTAAAACACTGAAAAAGTTTTATTATGTCCATCTCAAAAAAAAAGAAAGAAATAAAGATCTGGAATAACAATTGTCCGACTATGACGGCAGTTTTTTTACGCTCAAAACCAATTCATCCAAAGAAGTATTTGGTGTACAGTAAACCTTGAAGCGAAGTGAGTTTTTGCCCATTGCTTATCAATAGATCACAGATCATAAAGGTGTAATGGTGCATCCAAGACATTTGCCCTTTCCGTTTTCCCCAATGCCCCTAGATTCCATTCCTTGAGAGCAGGTGTCCTGTAACCGTCACATACATCTTGGCTTCAACACACCCGACTGAATTATAAGTTCATCAGCAGAGCTCCATAGAGCTCATCCTCATGCTAGTAAGGCACCTTAGACATTCAATTGTGTGAGGCAATGAAAACATTTAAAAGTTACATGATACTGAACCATGAGGGATTTGACTTTGAGACCACTTTTACTCTGCAGCATTACATTATTCATTTATGAGACATGTTTTCTTTGTCTTTTTTTTGTGTACTGTGAACATACTGTAAATATTTATTAGACTACACAGCGCAAGGAGAATCTGAGGAAGTTTGTGTGCAACCATCCATTTGTGCAGCAGGATTCAAACATGTGGCTTAACATTAATTAAACACACTATCTTTCAGCTACCTTGGACTCTTGCAATGGGATTATACCATGCCATTACACCATGCAGCCAAAATAAACCCACCAGACTCGGGATGAGAGCCTCATCTTTGAACTCAGCTTAAAAAATACATAAAATTGATATATATTTTTTTATATCACCGAATTAGGGATTAAACAATAATTTGGATTAATCATGATGAATTGATTATTGAAACTGTCGCTAAATAATTTGGAAATCTATTAATCGTTAATGGGAGTATAAAGACTCTAAAACATACTTTTAGTTGAAAAAGCAACCCATTTACAGCAATTGCTATACCATTTTACATTTAGGAGAAATAATATCTAATAATAGTCCATTATGCTCTATCCAGAATTTCTTAATTTGAAAAGTTTTAGTTTAATCTGGTTTAACCCTGTAATGCCAAATGTATCATATTTGATACATACGGTTTCTGAAATGTTTTGCATCTGACACCTTTTGCATAATTTAATGGTAAAAACTTTGCTCAAAATCCTATTATACACAATCAGATATACCAGCCAGTAGAAGACTACACAAAAAATAATCTTGACTTATCGCATAGTAATAAATTATTAATATCAAAAATGTATTTCTGTTTTTTTCTTTTTACATATTTTGTTAAAAGGCCAAATAAGGACTTCAAACAAAAAAAAAGTAATTTTATGTTTTGTTTTATTCTTGGATCGGGCTTTAAAGGGTTCAATTCTGCAGGAAAATCTTTGCCGTTTGCTGTTTAATAATCGATTAATTGAAAACATAATTGACAGACTGATCAATTAGCAAAATTATTATTAGTCGCAGCCTTGCACCAAATTAGAAGAGCAGAGATTTCAGACAAACTGCTCCAACTACATATAAAAAACTTTTTATACAGCAAACATGACTGTGGAGGTCATTTAATTTGTTTCTGGTATTCTCCAAACTAATTTCTATTCCCAAAAAGCAAGTTTTCTTTGTATGAATATAACAGACACTTTCCCAAACATGTAGTCAAGTCTAGACTTAAATGTTCTTTTTGCATGTAAATGGAGCTTTTTCCTCCCAAACACACAGTCTTGGTGTCCACATCTGTCAGATCTTCCTCCACATTAGGGTCAAATCTCTTGAGAGCTTCCTAAAACTCTCTTGTCATAGTCAGACTGGTAGGTCTGACGAAAATGCTTTCAAGTTTTCAAACAATGTTTTGTACCTTCTACTCTGGCTTCCAGGTATTTGTCCAGCTCAGCCTCACGTTTCACAGCTTCTGGAGATACCTTTGGGGCCCCAGGAAAGCAGATTAAAACAACACTCATATTGTCCCGGCTTCCCTGTGGAAAGATAAAAAAGCAGTGTAAATCAAGTATAAACCAAGCAGTATATTAACATGTCGGTGCAAGTTTGGTGAACACGTCATACCTTGTACAAGCAAGTGTCAACAATTTCATTGCTGACTCTTTCGAGATCATCTGTAACCTCCAGCCTTGACCTCACAAAGTCACAGAGTTCCTCATTGGCCATGACATCCCAGATGCCATCACAGGCAAGTATAATAAATTCATCTTGACCCTCGTTTCTTTCTATTGCATACACCTCAGGCTCTGGCGAAACCAGCTGCTCCGTTGGGCCTTTTCCATGGACACACTTGTAATCAAAGTCACCCAGGGCTCTGGACACAGCAAGAGAGCCATTAACTCGCTGGATCATGACTGATCCACCGGCATTCTGGATCCTTTCCTTCTCCAAGGGGTTGCTGGGTTTGTGATCCTGTGTAAAGAAGTGAACAGCTCCTCCCCTGCTGAGGAGACCCCGCGAGTCTCCACAGTTGATGAAGTAGATATGGCTTGGAGAGATCATTACCCCTACTGCAGTGGATCCGCTGCGGTCTACACCATGCTTCTTCTCCGAGATGGTTCGCATGTGTTCATCGATCTCCAAGAATCCTGTGCGGATCCCATTCTTCACACCGTCCACATTGTTGGACTCCATAATAGCATTCTTGAAGTCTGGGTTGCTAGTGATGTGTTCCAAGAGGTGCTCGCAGCAGTACTTAGCCACCTGAGAGCCAGCATGCCCATCATAAACGGCAAAGAACGACCAGGGGTCGAGACCATGAGGCAGACCAATGACTGCTGTGTGTGCATCTTCCATCTCAACCCGCCAACCCTGCATGCTGCTCAGCCCATACCTCAGGTTGTTACCCTCACCATGGGAATTGTATTTTTCCATCTTTGGTTTGTCCAGAAATGCCCCCATTGTGTCCCTCTAATAACCTGAAAAACAAATTAAGTATAAAATAATGTGAATTTTTAGTGGTTGTATAATAAAACTGTTGAAAAGCATCAACTACAACATCATCCCAAACTTTTTCAGACATGTGGTTTATGTGTCCACACACTTGACAACATGGGCACTACAGTAGCAACACAACCATAAAATACATGTCTGCATAAGAACATCTAGACTGGTTGTTCAAATGTCTTACAATACGTTTTAATCATTTGGCTAATCTAAAATCAAACAAAGAAAATATCCAAGGAGCCATAAAAAAAAAAAAAAAAACATAGTTTATCCTAAAGCCCGGCTTTAACTAGGCAACCTGGTATCCTTACTATGGCCCATATGTTTTTGTTGCTCAACCATCACGCTACAGTTAAAGCAATGCTAACCCTTACTGCAGCCAGGATAAGGCCTGGATAATGTAAGATACAACTGCTTGCTAGCAGAAAATGTTTTAGCCCATGATTTTGAATTGAAAATAAATAGCAAACAAGCAAATGCTTTTTAGATTGATTTCTGACCTAAAAAAAAATCTGTTAAAAACATTGCTATCTTTTATTACCTTGTAACTTTGGGTGGTCAACCTAGAAGATTCACATCACCATGAAAAGAAATACAGAAAATATGGCTATCAGTAAGTATGTTGCTATCAGTAAATTTGGGATTGCAATCTATATATTAGTGACAGTACTATTTATTGTGTAAAAAAGGGCTTTTATTTGGATTGAAGTTCTGAGAATTTCCAGACAGAATAATAGACATACCCATGGCCTAAACTCTTGGTACAATTTTCTAAATCTATATCAATGCATTATTAGATCAAGTGCATTATATATCCTACTAAATCTAAGTGTTTTCCCAAAAAAACATATCCAATTTATTTTGAAAAAATATATAAATAATTACCCAATCATGCAGAGGATATCAGATTCGTTCAGTTACATTAATTCTAATTCGATCATATAACAAAGTCCAGTCATAATCAGTTTGTAATGCAAACTAGTGAAAATATTATCTAGGGAAACCAGGTTGATTGCATTGACTTAAGGTAACCTCTACTCCTGTGCAAGCATGTTATGACAGCAGACAGTCAATTGTCTAAACATAAAACTCTAGAAACCTTTGTTGACATGCTTATTATTAGTTATTCTTGGAAAGACGATCCCTTGTTCAAACTTTAAAAACAATATAAAAAAAACCTTTACATGTAAAAACATTATAGTGTCACTATCAGGAAAAATGATAATTAGGGTAATAGATAAATTGATTTAGAGCAAATAACACGTCAACAATCCGCTCTGTGGCAGCAGATTAGCATCTTAAGTGTTGAATTCAGGGCCCTGCTCAGTCTAAATATAGTAGAGATGTGAACACAGTTTGACTACTTATTAGGATGGCTGCAGTTGTCGATTATCTTAAAAATCACAAAGAAAAATTAAATATTCACGCTAAAAGATCAATTTAAAAGCAGGAAATAACCCGTCCATTAAGCACCCCATCAAGTATTTCTCCAGCGTTCATCTACTTCATTTAAAACATACATGGTTTCAACCCTAAGGCTAAAGTTAGCTACTTGACTGACCAGTTTGTTGGTAACCACTGTAACGAATAACCTGTTCAAATCCCACAGTTCCGCTCGCGCTGGTATGAATTGCTTCCCATATACTAGTCCAGTTTAATCAGGTTCTGTTAGGCCGATGGATGAAGGGTTAGCCAAGGATCAGATAAACAGACAGCTCCGTCAGTTCGCGGCCCTTGACCCTTGTCCCTCTCAACTAACTCCGTCAGGCCTTTCCAACCATGTTGTGCTAACGTAACGTTGAAGCAAACAGAGCCGCCGAAGCTGGCCTCGCTAATCTAACGTCGAGACGCTAATTTAGCACGAAATGCTAACTGTCGGGATATCCTGCACTATGTGACGATCACAGAGAAGATCTCACTTACCAAACAACCAAAATATCAGATGACAGGAACACAATGTGCAATAGGGACCAAGTGTCCGCAGTTACCACAAGAAGGTGTTCAACGACGAAATGTGAGGGTTAGCGCTGGCTAAGCTAACTAGCCTACAGCTAGCACTTAACTGTCGTCACTCAACACTTAGTGCATAAACTCTGGAACTGTACTCCCTCTTTACGCGCTCCCGTTTTACATTACATTATCTCAGTTGGTGAGCAAAAGAATAAGCTCGGCTCTTGTGTTTCTGAGGGGGAGGATCTGTGTACGGGCCAAGCCAGGGAGGGAAGCTGAACCGTCTGCCCCAGCCTCTCCACTTGACAGCTTGACAGTTTCCTAGCTAGCGTTAGCTTGTGATACGCCACAGGGAAAAGACCCGGATGTTCCAGACTGCGTCTATTCGAAAACATGACATCATCATTACTGCTCTGCTGCAACACATGTGCATTATAGAGCGTTACACAACATCAAATCAAGATTAGGATGTCACAGTAATATGTGTCGGTGGTGTGATGATAATAATGGTGTGAAACTCAAAATAGAATAATGTTAATATTTAGATTCTAGATACTGCATGTTGGTTTTACAAGCCTATTATAGCCCTAATAATGACAAGGAGTTCAATCTGTTTTTTTCAGTCATTTCAATCTAAAAAAGGCTACTTTATGAAATTTTCATAGAAATTACATAAAAAACGTTGGAAAATAATTATTATGTCATGCTCCAAATGAGGAAGACTGTTCAGAGGCGCAGCCAGAAAATCCTAATAGGGGTGGCCAGTCAATAACCAATGTACACTGAGGGGTGGCCGAAAGGCACCAGAACCTCAGGGTCAATCTACAACAAGCACAACAACCATATTTCAAAAAAAAAAAAAGACAAACTATACTTTCCTGCAGCCTTTATATAGATGCATATATTTAAACATCTATGCTGTGTAAATAAAAGGCATAGTGAACAAAATTCTTTCAGGTTTGAGTTCTGGGGCGAACATATTTCACATTGTTATTACCTACCTTTATCAATAATCACTCTGCAAAAATAAAAAAAAAATGATATAAATTCACTAATATCAACATTTAATGAATTTTTATGTTATTATTAAAGTAGTTATCTATCTATGATTTCACTGAAGACTCCTAGATGACTTGCAGAGGCACATCATTTTATCTTTAGACTTTTAGACTTTAGATAGATTTTATTTGTCATTTTGTTTGCACAAGGGTAAGACAAAAGGAAATTTCGTTTGGATATTTGGATATATATATATATATATATATATATATATATATATATATATATATATATATATATATATAT